AATGATCTCCTTCCAGAAGCGTCTGCTCTGTTTGTCCTACTACCAGCTGAACCTCCAGGTAGCTGTGGAGCTCCCTCCCCTCCACTCCAGGACAGAAGAGAACAGAACAGTCCTAGAAAAATTCAGTTGGAACAACAGCAAAGTGGCAGGGAATTAAAAACACAGGCCAATGTGTGTGTGTGTGTGTGTGTGTCTAGTTAAATATATAAATATATATAAACAAGTGTGTGTCAGTGAGTGAGAAAGTCACTTGATAATGTGTTCATATTTGATCCAGTTTAACCACAGCATCCATTAACTTCTCGTGAGCTGCATTGATTTATTATTTTTATTTTTACAGTTAGTATATTTATATCAGTTCAGGCACAATATATTCTTATTCTCTTATTTGTACTTTCAAAATGTTCAAATATACGCCTTTCAGTGTAATCAGTGCTTGTAATATTGTAAATCCAAATAAAATACTCAATTTCTAAATTGAAAGCGTTAAGGAACAACTTCCCCTTCAAATGTCACATGACCTACGTAATAAAGTTAAGGTTCATTCATCGTATTGTCTTAAATCGTATTTTTGTTGCATTGTTTCTCTCCAAAATCTCTCTGCCCAAAATAAAATACATACGGTAAAACCTTTTTACACGGTAGAGGCTGTTGCTATAAAACCTACGAAGCCCGACTGAGTAGAAGCTTTTATTCTGAAGGCAAAGAAGTTCAGACACAGAAGAACATCTTCCGCTCCCGGCACGAATACGACTCCGGAAGCACTCCGGGAGCTCCAGTCCGCCATTTTGTTAGTCTGCAGCTGGGTACTCTTGGAAAAAAAGTGAGGCGCGAACCGGAAAAGCTTCTGCCGATCACAATTCAACAACGGATTATGAAAGAACGGATAACGCTCGAAACGCGCGGCAACGTTCTGTGGCTCTTAAAAAACAGTAAAAACGCTGGCAGCGAAGAGCTTTCTGATCAGGAAACGGTTGGCAGTGAATGAGTTAATCGTTACAGGGGCACACTAAATATTTATTAAGAATGAATGAAAAAGAAATAGAACCGAAAGTTTGTTTATTTTTAAACTGAAAGTGACAGGAAAAATCAATCCTGACAGTTTTGTACCCCGTTGGTCACAAAAACGTGAACTCTGGGAGAGAGCTGTCCAGAAATCAGGAAATCAGACTCCGTCGTGTTCTCCTCACCTGTGCTCTGGCCAACTTCTAGTTCCTGAAGCAGCAGCGTCAGAGCCCCCCCCCCCCCCCCCCCCAGAGATAGACTCATAAAGCATTCATCTATGGAGACCACTGCAGATGTGTGGAAAAACGAGTCAACTTTGTGTGTATTTTGATATAAACCAGTTTTGCTGTTTTAGAAGCGGTGACTGAAGATGGACTGTAATCTCGTCAGAGATGTTCTCATGCTTTCATCTATCCAGAGTGGTTTTTATTCATCATTGTAAACAAAGAAAGCAACCAAAAACCTCCTGTTGACCCTTTCACAGATGCTGGACAGTCGAGATGAAGTTTTAGGAGGCAGGAAAACACGACTCACCCATTCTCCCACACTGTTCTGAGGACCAGCATTGATGACTTTTACTTCCTCCCAAAGAATTCGTTCAGGGCCCCAACGGCAGATCAGTGAGCGAGTCTTGACAGCAAACACCAGTAAGATGATGAGAGCAACACACACCAGGAAGCTCAGGACGATTGCCACAGCCTGCAGGATTAGATGGGAAATCAGATCGGTCAGAAAATGTGGAGAAACTCCAGGGATCCAAGGATGGGAGCTCACAGATTAGCAAGAATTTGAGCCGAGTCAGCAGGTGGAAACATTATGTGGGCTTTACAGAGAAAAAGGCTGCCAACATATATCTAAATGAAAGACGTTGGAAACACTGAAACTGGTTTTATTTCCCCAGCTAATTCAGATCACTAGGACCTAAAACAGGGTTTCTCAACCTTTTTCAGCTAAGCGCCCCCCTGTCATGCTGAGATCCCTTACTCCCCAGCAATGAAAGAGAAACGGAAAGCTTTTTGATCCAAAAATCATAATAAAAAATGTATAAATAAATTCAGCCTTGAGTTTGAAACTGTTTAATACAAATATGTCATAAAAAGTATCATAAAAATGTTTTTAGCTATTAGCAATGAGATATTGTAGGAAGCTAATAATCCTCGGTCCAGTAAATTCGAGCTTCGAGCAAACATACTGCTAATGCTACCTCTTTTAGAGTGTCTCTCTTTAATTGCCTGAAAATAGTTCAGTTCCTTTGAAGCTTTGTCTGGATGCATTTTGGACAAGTGCTCCTTAAGCCGGGAGGGTTTCATTGCTTCGTTTGAAAAAACTTGTTCACAAAGCAGGCACATGGGAAGTTGTGGATTCGTGGGTGAAGGAATACATCCATACCGAGTCCACATTGTACTGTCAGCACTTCTTTTTATTCTGAGCCATTGTCTGTTATGAATGTCCTGTATCGCTAGCGCCCCTCATTAGCATCTCAGCGCCCCCTTCAGTGGCAAAAAACTTTCACCGCCCCCTTATATAGTCTGAACGCCCACTGGGGGGCGCTACAGCCCCCATTGAGAAACCCTGACCTAAAACATGGAACATTTCCTAGCACTAAATAATAAAACAATAGGAACAAACCTAGGAGATAACTAAACTGCTTCAAAATTATAAATGAAAATGCGAGAAGGAAGACCGGAGCGCTCAAAGGGAGAACAAGGTTTTAATGACGCTACCGTTTCAACACTTCAGTTAAAACTCTCTCACTCCAGCCTCCCTCCTTTGTTGGATTCTGATCGATTAGTGAGCGGATGACGTGAAGAAGGTCCTGCTTCTGATTTAGACTGGTTCAAGGCAGGAAACTCCAAATACAGAAAAAAACAGACTCCTTATATAGGGAGAGCTTCCTACACAGGATAGGGTGTCGTATTAAAGGGACCAACAGCGACGTCTCTGCATTAGCGGCCAGTGGAGCCGGGCCCCACCAGATGGCGCTGTGGAGCTTGACTCTTAGATAATCAGCAGAATTGAATAGTTTGTTTTACAGTAAAATTGGTTAAAAATCAATTCTGTCACCAAGAAGATTCTTTTATGAACATTTGTGTGATAAGGGTTTTGGAAGTTTTGCCAGCATACGGACAAGCTCAGTAGGTTAAATCCTCTAGAAAAGCAGAGACGAGGCCGTTGTTGTGTGGGCCCATCCATTTTCAACATGGAAGAGCCAAAATCAGTGTGCATGCTCAACTCATTCTCTACGGTAAGCCATAGGGCCCGGAGACTCTGGCCCCATGCTCAGATCATATAACCAACAGATAAGAAGAGCACATGAGCTTATGTTTCGGTTCTGTGGAACAGCAGCAGCCATGTTGGTTTTGCTGGTTAGCCACCAAGAAGCAACAGAAATAAGGAGAACTTAGCCACTTGAACAAATGTTAGAAATAAAACCAGAGGTCTTTAACTAACATTAGCAAAGGGAAACACTGGCACTTGTTGAAAATAGGGCTCGCAATCTCGTCACCAACATGGCCGCCATGTCGGCAGCCTACGAGTTCTTACTTGTTGCTACTGACGGCGCGCTCAGCCTCGTTCTTGCTCCGTCATTTAATCTATTATTCAATTGATCGGTTATAACACACAACTACGGTAAATTGTTGATGTGTTGTGGAGAGCAAGACCTGATCATCATGGGAATCAAGGTGGAAAACTTTACACAGTTTTCCTGCTTGGAGGCACAACCACGGACACCAAGTATCTAGCATAACAAAGTGTTGCCTGTGGGCTTGGATCGCAGCTGCAAGGTCACCAAACATCACCTTCCACAGTATTTTCATTCATGTAAGACACAGACGGTGTATGTTTTCAACTGCAACATGCACACACAACACACACATAGGCTACACACCCTTCCTGGTAAGCTAATGCTGGCACACCGACACAACACAGCCTCTCCTGCTACACTTCTATGAGATGATGATTTGTTTAATAGAAAAACCACAAAATAAATAAATGGTGTAGATGATATTTCCTGCATTCTGGTATATTTAGGTTGTTACACCTATCTTACCTACAGTACGGCTAGGCGATACGGCCTAAAATTAAAATCTCCGATTTTTTTCTGATTCTCTCTCCCCTCAATTATTAAGAACAGCAATAAGTACAAATGGAAGGCACCTTAAAGCTGCAGAGGTCACCACTGGCCATTAGGGTGTGCTGCGATCAAGCCTCGAGGGAAAAAGGTGCATTCAGGGATGTGCCTGAAGTCACGTACATGCGACAACCCCTCACTGTACATACTGCTGCTTCTCATTTGGATTGCTGCCGCTCAACCATCACACTGCTGTCTATCCATGCTACTGCTGTCTATCCATGCTACTGCTGCCTATCCATGCTACTGCTGCCTATCCATGCTACTGTTTGACTTGTATCTGTAAGTCTTCACCTGCTTGTTAAGCTAATGTAACGGTCACATTGTCAGTATGCATGCTAAGCCGCGCTGCATTTATTCACCAATTTTATCGCATTGCTTAGCTTTGGTCTTCAGCCCATGCTGCTGCTTCACGCTGCCGTTAGCGTCTGCTCACTCAGCTTTGTATGTCGCCACAGGGCTCCTTCATCCTTGTCAATAAAGCCATTAGACATCGAGGAGTGTATTTCTTCAACAGCCAAATTAGTTTTTTATTTATTCACAAGCAGGACATATGTGACCCTCATTTCTGAGATGAATAATGAACAAAAGAACACCCTCTTGGATAAAAGCGCCACGCTCCACGTCCATTGCAGCAAACCCAAACCAGTTCCAAACAACGGAGGATTTAATTCCTTTCTTATTTACCTCTAAAAATTGAATTTACTTTTTTTTTAAATCACCACAGTAAAAAAATTCTAATCAATTCATTAAATCGCCCAGGCCTAACCTACAGTAATGGTAAATGGCCTGTATTTGATATAACGCCTTCTAGAGTCCTGGAACCCCCCCAAGGCGCTTTAGTGCTCCGAGTCTTTCACCTCCTTCTCCCCAATTACACTACATGACTTAACCTCAATAATCAGTCAGATGAAACTCTCATCATGCTCATCAGATATCTTAACTCCCTCTGTTTTAGTCGGGTCCCTTGCCTCTATCAGTCCATCTCTGTTGACTATAATCAACAGCTCACTGAGCCAAGGCTGTGTTCCATCTTACTTTAAAAATGCAGTAGTGACTCCTCTCTTAAAGAAACCCAACCTTGACGCCAGCTCCACCAGTAACTTTAGGCCCATTTCTAAACTACCTTTCATCAGCAAAGTACTTGAGAAGGTTGTTAAAACCCAACTCTGATCCTGGTTTTCCAAGTCAAAGATCTCTGACCCCTTCCAATCTGGCTTTCTGAAGCAGCACTCAACTGAGACTGCCCTAGTAAGGGTGCATAATGACCTCCTAATGGCTGCTGATGCAGGGAAATGCTCTGTCATGGTCCTGCTTGACCTCAGTGCAGCTTTTGACACTGTAGACCAGGGATTCCCAAAGTGTGGTGCGTGCACCCCTGGGGGTAGGCGAGCTGCCGCTAGGTGAAAAGTGTAATGGCTGCGGAGCTCAGAGAAGTCTGTCAAAAGTCACCATTAGAGTAGCCAGAAACTCATTTGTGGGTGGGCCTAAGAAAAAGTAAGTAGGCCCAATAAATGTAATTGAAAACATGTATATTTTGCTTGTGTGTGTGTGTGTGTCCTCCGCACATGCCCTAGCTCAGGGGTCGGCAATCCGCGGCTCTTCCATCCATCTGATGCGGCTCTCTGTGCTTGTAAAATAATGAATGGATATTTAAATAAAATGCTTTATATTTTACTGCATTAATTTTACATCTGTATGCTAATTCTAAATGTAAAGATTGTCTGCGTAAACCTGAACAGGTCCAACCCGGTCTTACTGTGAGACCGGGTTACCGGGTCACACTTGTGCGTAATCATATAGGCACTTTATGAGCTGAAGAGGATGTGAGATTCTGAGATTCTCCTCAGACGGCTCCTGAATGTGTCGCCACATTGGAGACAGGAACAAGCACAATTCAGCCAAAGTTTCATCATCAGGGAACATTTTCTAAGTGACAAGTCTCTCTGAGAGACCGGGTTTGGAAAACGCTCGCTTCAGTCGGAGGAATCTTCCCGCATGCGCTCTGGTTCTGCAACGCGCTCCAAGCCCCTCTCCACATCTTCAGCTCGCTGTGCACCTTATGTACGTGCTGACAGCAAGCTGCGCTCAGCTCAGTGTCCAGCTCAGATGGGAATCATTTCTTGAGTGATTTAGCTACATCTGCGATTTGCAAAACGAATAAAATGTCAGTTCGTCTGCATGCATCGGGGTAATTCTTTCTATTCTTTCTCCGTCAAAATAAACGGCCAAACACGGGAACTGTCCGGTCAACACAAGCCCTGCTTTTAACTGTTCTGTTTTCTTGTGAAAATTGTTGCAAAGAGCTATAATTTAACTTGATTAACACCAGAGCCAGGCGCACTGCGCCGTTATCTCCGTCACTGTAAATGAGGGAAAAACAAAATAATCGGATCCTTTTCTGACCTTCCCCACCTACAAAGTTTAATTACAACAATCAAACGTGACAGAGCCTGGATTTGTATTCTGAACAGTCTAAACATGTTTTAAAAAGAAACGTATGACAAAAGTGGCACCTGCTCAGTAAAACCACCAACAGGGTGAAAAATATCAAAATATTGTAGGCAGAGATGGGCTACAACTTCTGGATCCACTTTATATAAATCGTTTTATTGATTATCTTCTTATAAAAGATAACTTTGACGTACACGAGCGACCGGTACCGGCTGCTGTCACCTGTTGTGAGCAGCGCTCTGCTGTCTGAGGGTAGGCCCCGCCCACAACGCCGCGGCTGCTGCGGTGTTTTCTTTACTGTGGGAAACGGGTAATAATGGCTCTTTGATGGGAACAGGTTGCCGACCCCTGGTTTAGCGTGACGTCTGATTATATATATATATATATATATATATATATATATATATATATATATATATATATATATAGCCATGCCCTGATGTGGGGCTGGAGGGTGCGTCAACATGGTCGGGACATAGAAGGGGGTGCGCGGCTAAATAAGTTTGGGAACCACTGCTGTAGACCACAACGTTCTATTAAACAGGTTAAAGGCCCTGGTTGGGATTTCAGGTTCTGCTCTAGACTGGCTCTCTTCTTATCTCACCAACAGAACATTCACAGTGAAGTCTGAAACTTTCTCTTCAGATACTGCCTCTCTAACATGCGGGGTCCCACAAGGTTCAGTTCTAGGGCCTCTACTTTTCGCATTCTATATTCTTCCCCTAGCTGGCATCATTCAGTCTTTCCCAGACATCTCCTACCACATCTACGCCGATGATATTCAGCTCTATATGTCCTTTATGCCACACCAGTTGGACAGGCTGGCCACACTTGTACTCTGCCTGATCCAGATCAGTAACTGGCTGTCCAGCAACTTTCTTGTTCTCAACGCTAACAAGACAGAGACCCTGATCTCTGCACCCCCGGAACTTCAGCCAAAAATCGAGCAGGAAATTGCCTCTTTTTGCCCATCAGCCAAGGCCAACATTAGAAACCTAGGAGTTATTTTTGATCCAGTTTTAAGTTTAGACTCACACGTCAAAACCATCTCCCGCTCTTGTTTCTTCCAACTGAGAAACATTTCAAAAGTCCGTAAACTGGTTTCTACTGCAGATCTGGAAAAAATCATCCATGCCTTTGTGTCATCACGCTTAGACTACTGTAACGCGCTTTTTACTGGTCTCAGCAAAACCTCCCTCTCACGCCTTCAAGCCATCCAAAATGCAGCAGCCAGACTCCTAACCAAATCCAGCAGACGATCTCACATCACTCCAGTTTTACAGTCCCTCCACTGGCTCCCGGTAGAATATAGAATTCAGTTTAAAGTTTTAGTCCTGACCTATAGAGCTCTTAACAACCAGGCTCCAAGCTAACTATCTGAGCTTTTATCCCCGCACATCACCTCTCGGAACCTTAGATCCACATCTGAAAACCTCCTGGCTGTTCCTCGAACCAGACTGAAAACCAAAGGGGACAGGGCCTTTCAGACTATTGCACCCAGACTTTGGAACAGTCTACCTTCTAATCTCCGTCTCTCTAACACTGTGGAGGTCTTTAAAAATCATCTAAAAACTCACCTTTTCATCCAGGCGTTCCCTCCCTAAATGTTCAAAAAGATGGCTTTGTTTGGGTTCACACCTTCACTTTGTTTATACTCATGATTTTATGTACTATTTTATCACTGCTATTGTTTTTCTGATGTTTTTATTGGTTAGAGGTTTTTGCCCTGATCTTACTTATGTTGTACAGCACTTTGTGATTTATATCTGTGAAAGGCCCTATATAAATAAACTTTTACTTACTTACTTACTTCACAACACAATCAGTCATTCACCCATTCACACACTGGTGAGGATGAGCTACAGCTGCCCTGAGGCGCACTGACAGAGGCGAGGTTGCTGAGCACTGGCGCCACAGGGCCCTCCGACCACCACCAGCAAGCAACGTGGGTTAAGTGTCTTGCCCAAAGACACTACGACAGCGACGATCTGAGCAAGGCTTGAACCTGCAACCTTCAGATTACGGGACGAGCACTAACTCCTGTGCCACAGTCACCCCAAGTTTTTACATTAGTAAAAACTTAACTGTCACTATTGTTCACCACAAACCTCCAGCTAATTCAGTCAGAAATACCAAAACACTAAAAGTAGACAATAAAATGATGACTGCGTGTTCACGTTGGTCACGAGAACACCAGCAGGAGGCCATGGACTGAATTTGAATTTAATGAACCATTTTAACATTTAATAACAACCACGCCTCTTTGTTATATCCTTATTTTATTTACCCCAGTACTAATAGTAATTTTACTAGTCAAAGTACAGATACCAGCAGGTGTTTGTTAGTAGTAGTAATGATATGTAAGGATAACCAACAACTGCACTGATCTGAGACAAACCCAACATGGAGACAACCCATTGTTGGAAAGTGACTTCTCCTCCAGCTTCACAAGCCTGCACTGAAGTTTCACTTTTGTTCGGTGTCTTTTTTTACTTGACAACTCAGTCCATGTGCAATAGTGAATGTACCCTTCTCCAGGGTTTCCCCCCAGCGTTTCATAAGCCTGGCGGCCCACCAGGCTTTGCTTGGCCACCCGTCAGGCTAAGCGTCATGCCCCACCCCCTCCCCAACCCCAACATGTCCGCTGACACGAACGGCGCAACAAAACTAGAGCCCTCCATCAGCTGATACTGGGGGCGAAACAGCAGCGGAACGTGTGCGCCCCCCCCACAGCTGTTTGTTGGCTACAGAAGCACATTTATGAACAGAAACGCGAAGTCGCCATCTTAAAAAACAGGAGTGTGATATGCTTGTCAGCCACAGATGGTGCCATCGGATAAGAGAAATACTCTGGAAAGAAGCTTTAAGTGTCTTGCCCAAGGACAACAGCAGCATTCTCTGGTCGGAGCCGGGATCAAACCTGCAACCTTCTGATTACTGGACAACCCGCTCTACTTCCTGAGCTACTGCTGTGGAATGCATTTATAAAGCACTTTTAAACAAAAACCACAGTAATTAGCACATCATAACAGGTTAGTAGTCAGAACTAACCTCTTGGGGGTCGACCACACAGTAATGGTAGAGGTACTGGTTGATGAACAGACCCTGGGCTTGGTTCTGGTTCTGGTACTGTGCACACAACTGGATCATTTGGTTATACATCATGGATCCTGAGGTTTGTGCCGTTGGGTTCACCGCCACAAGATACACAATGGCGGCAATGAGCATTAGTAACGCCAAGATGGCACAGATGATGATGGTCCCCAGGTAAAACTTCTGTGAATGTGCAGCGCTTTGCTTCGAAACTACCAAGATAAAGACGACAAGTACAGCGATGAAGGTGATGGCAGCTATGGCGATGAGGAAGCCTTTGCCTGAAACGGGATCGACTTGTGTTCCTCCATATCCGTAACTACCACCAATCCCGCTGCCGTAGCCGCCATAGGTGCCGCCGTAGCCGCCGTAGGAGCTGCCATAGGAGTTGCCATATAAGCTGCCAGAGGCGCCATAACCAGGCATTAAGCCAGTTCCACCCATCATGCTCATGTCATAGTCCCATGCCAGAGTTGAGGCCACACAGGCAAACACTGCCACGCACATGATGATGATGATAATAGACATTATCTTCATCACACCTGGTGGTGAAGTCCAACGATAGAAGTGTAGCATCTTGTCTGTATGGTAGTAGGAAACGGCTGGGTTGGACATGAGTTCACTGTGCCGGTGTCTGCTGATGTGGCTGCAAAAAAAGACAAGATGGGCTTTAGTCAAGGTCTGCAAACAGCCAACTTCCAAAGCAGTAAATGAAGTATGGTCAGGTTAGGATGACAACAGTCAAACATTTTACTGTTGTCTCAAGCACAATTAAGATTGATCCTACATATTAAAACTAGACACCGTTCTCCCCTGCAGCTCTATTCACACAACCTAGAAAACGTGGAAGGTACAACTGTAGGCCTGTCCCTGTGGACTCATGGTGGGTTGGGTCAGGCAACTAGTTATGAAACTAAACATGGACAATGTTATCACTCATGGTTTGGGGCTCTTACCAACACATGAACCATGACATTCTACAGCATTGATTCCCAATCAAAGGTACGCGTACTTCTAGTGGTACGTGGTAACATTACAGGAGGGACGCAGAAACATTTATATTCAATACCCAGATGATGACAGCATTAGTTGTGCCCTGGTAAAAACAACAACATTGTGCTGGGATGTGTTGTGCTTAATGAATACTCAAATGAAGTAATGCATGGTAAATTAGGGTTGATATCATTTGATCAATTATTAATTTAGGCTAAGACTGGGCGATATGGACCAAAACTTATATCTCAATATCTTTTTGCTGAACTCCGATATACGATATATATCTCGATATTTTTCCTCCTGTAAAATATTTACAAGTTAACTCACTTCAAGCTGTCTTGAAAAATTATAAACATACATCAGTAGATTAAATGCATAAAAAATTTATTGATTCTTGTCAAACTTTAAAATTTGTGCCTATTCTCTACCAGTTATTAGTTATCAGGGCAAACATGGCTGGAATCCTACAGAATTGGCTCATGTCAGCGATTATACTGTAATGACTCAGAAGCTGTTTTTACAGGACCGTAGCGTTTGCAAAACGGGATTTGCCGCAGCTCCCTGGGGAGGATTTTGCCATTTATAGTAGCAAAGCTGAAGCTAGAATAAACTGACATCAGGCACCTCTCAAACCAAGACGGGATATAGGGAGGTCGCTTTTTGTCCCGCTTGACGCCCCGCTCAGCCAGTGTTTTCACCACTCTGTCGAACAGCAGGCTGTCTCTCACCATCACCGTAAAAAGGCGACTAATCTGTTCGTCCGCTTGCACGGCCAAAAGCTCCATGGTCTCCGCGTCCGTCCGGCTTTCCTTCTGGCCAGCACTCAGCGCAGTATACGTGACTAAGTGACCACCCTCTTTTGCAAGGGGGGGGAGGGGGGGGGGGGGGGACAGTCGCTCCAAAGGGATTAGCGGGGCTGACGCGTTTAGCCGTCAGAGGCGAGGGGCTCATGCGGAACGAATGCCGCAAAATTCGCGCAACGCCATGCCGGCATGAAGCGTTTATAGACATACCATTGCTGTAATATTACGCCGATTTGCCGGCATGGTGTGTCTTATAAAAGCACCTAAATTCTCTGGTAGCTCTTTTATCAGTATTATTTCGGGCTACTGACGCCGTAACCCATGCCTTACAAACTGTTCAAGTTTTTCAACAGAATTGCTCGTAACAAAGTATTTACTAGCATAGCAAACCAGAGCAGACAAAAACAGAACCGGAACAAATTTCTCAGCCCTTGAGCTCGCCTTCTAAATTAAATGTTATTCCTACAGTTTACAATTCAAACCCTTACAATATGTTCGAGGTCATTTGGCCACACCTCATGGTAAATGATAAATGACCCGCACTTGTATAGCACCTCTCAGAGTAAGGACTCTAATGCTCTTTACACTACAGTGTATCATTCATCCATTCACACACACATTCACACACTGATGGTGATGAGCTACGATGTAGCCACAGCTGCCCTGGGACGCTCTGACAGAGGTGAGGCTGCCGAGCACAGGCGCCACCGGTCCCTCCGACCACCACCAGCAGGCAAGCTGGGTTAAGTGTCTTGCCCAAGGACACAACAGCAGAATTCTGTCCGGAGCCGGGATCGAACCTGCAACCTTCCGATTACTGGACAACCCGCTCAACTTGTTGAGCTACTGCTGCCCACAAACTAGCGGCAGACATGGAGAAGCAACAATACCTGGCGGAAAAACTCTAAAAACATGAACGTTTAATTCCCCCATGACTGGAGGAGAGAAAAGCAAGCGAGAATTTTATTCATAGAAAGAAATTATGGAAAACGTGGGTTGAGAGGTGGCGAGTGTATGAAGAGGTGGAGGAGAAGGAGGGACAAATTTGTCAGTGTTAAAAAGTCTGTTAAATACAAAAAAAACACACACACACAATATAAACACACTATCTTGGACTGGATATATGACAGATACCACAGAATAGCGCTACGCAGTCTGCTGTCCTGGCTGCTTTGCAACACTCTGCAGGAGACGGAGAAGTCTGAGGGCAAAATGTCTCCATCCGTGCGTGCGTGTCTTTCCCTTTTGGAGCTGACGGAGAAGTATAAATTAGGCTTAACAGGACGTTAGTTAGCATTTCCATATTAAAAGAGCTTCTAGAACCTTCAGCAGCACCTAGTAACACATTTGGGTGACACCCAAATTCTACTACCTCCGCTCCGGTCCGGTCCGCCCCCGCCTTCCGCAGCCGCTCGCTTCCGAACTCAATTTTTACTGGTACCCGCTCTACAACGGCTCCGCTCCGGTGCGGAGACCTGAGGTGGGCAAACAAGCATGCGCGGGATTTTCGAGATCTTGCGATACAGTCCGAGCAATAAACGCGGAAGTTAGATCCAAACACCCGTTGTGTGGGAGAAGCATCTGCATGAACAGTTTAATCTGCCCATCATTTGTGTTGAGAGATCAGCAGTGTTTGGATCAACAAAGTGTGACTACTTTGATAGTAGAAACTGTATTTATGGCTTACTTTTGTGCATTTAAACTTTAGCCGCCACTGATAGTTGTTAAAAGTTGTTAAACCTGTGCATATGAAACAAAAAACGCATTTTGTTTATCGATTTATTGTGAAAAACGGAAGTTGTGCCCGCTCCTTTTCCTGTTGGGCGTTTGTGATTTCTGTCCATTTACTGCGGAGGTGCTCCGGCGTCCGGCAAAAATAGGATCGATTCTATTTTTGCCGGACGCCGGAACAGAGGGTGGCGCACGGCGCCGCACTGCCGGAGCACGGCCGCAGTAGTGGAATTGCTCTGATTGACTACAACGGGACCGATTTTGCTCCGGCGTTCGTGTCGGAGCGGAGAGCAGCGGAGCGGAGGTAGTGGAATTTGGGGGTGACTGTGCTTATATCAGAGCCTTTACGACCAGAGAGAGTGCAGTATTAGTCTACAGATGTAGTTTGGTTTTAAATTATGATCAATAAGATGTGATGATTCTATATAAATATAGAGTATCAACCTGACTGATCTTTGAATGTTTATCCAGAAGAATTAGGATTCTTTGTTTATTCAGGGACCGTAACACACTTCGTATTAATTCAGACAGAGCGAAGTTTGTAAAAAGTAAGAATTTTCTTTTCTGAACAAATTATAAAACGTGACAACTAGGAAACTGTGAGGTGATGAGTGTATGCTGTAGTGTAATGTGATGTGTTAATGTGATGTTTATCAGAACCCTTGTATCTGAAAAAACTGAGTGTGATTGAATTTGATCAGCATTAAACTAGAAAGCTGATTTCTAATAAAACGGCATCAGACGCAATCTGTCGTGCCTCCGTACCCTTTCTTTCGGAGACCCCAGGGGTAGATCCGTAATGTGTTGCAGTATGTGGACTCCAAGGCACCGAAGTCCATAGGAGAAACTGCAGCACCGCTAGACCGGTCTTCGAGTTGTCTCCAGGTCACCACAGGTAGTTATTTGCGTCCATGGAAGGACTCTCAAGGAGTCGGAGCTGTGTCAGCTAGGGCTGAAACGATTCCTCGAGTACCTCAAGTAATTCGAGTACAAAAAATCCTCGAGTCAAATTCTCTGCCTCGAAGCTTTGTTTAATTCATGTTTAATTAATTCATGGCTTTGCAATCGCCCGGGGTCATGTTTCACCCGGACCTAAATAAGTGACGCACATACACACTGCACTGAATGCACACGCGAGTAGTGAATATAACTTAACTTTCTCTTAAGCCATGGCGGACAACGTGGATCTCGGTGGAGTGCGAAAAAGACAGAAAATGCCAAGGGTGTGGGACCATTTTTCACATCGTAAGGCGGAAAACGTAGTCCACTGTAAATACTGTAAAATGGATTTAGCCTACCACAACACCACATCCTCGGTGCTGCGGCAAGCGGACTCGGAGGTCTGCTATATATTCTGGGGACGTTGTGTGACTTTTTGTTTGTAGCACTCAGTTTCAGCTCGCACTGTGGGTCTGGTAGCAGCATGTCGGGCCTAAAATAGTGCTAAAAATAGCAGTTTTTACACACGTCGGACTTTTTATTGTGTTATTGACGTCTGTTGTCCCTCGGGGTCGCTGCAGGAGGACGCAGGTGTTTATGAGGAAAACGAAAGAAAGTAAATAAATGTTTTGTGATCAGTATAATTTGACATAACCACAGCAAGCATGCTTTCTCGACAATCCTTGTTATTGTGTGTGAAAAAAAGTGTAGAAATTAAAACGGACGTGTGTTAATAGGGAAATAGCTGCGAGCCATGTTTGCGCATGCGCCGTAAGCGGTTCTGGTTCTGTTTGGGCCGCAGCCGCTCACAGCACTACTTAAACAGTTATCCTCCTAGTTTTGTCTGGCTTGCCGGGCTAGTAGATTCCGGCAAGAGTGGAAAATCGGCTCAGGTTGTATACGTATTTTTTGCACTGGCATTTGTTTACTGTGAAGTAAAGTTGAAGTGCTTGCTCATTTTAAGAGGTCTTTCATATTTTATAACATGCTATTTGATATAATGGTTTACAAACACAAAAGGGTAATTCATTAGAGTACTCGAGTAATCGATAAAAGATTCGATAGAGTACTCGATTACAAAAATATTCGATATCTGCAGCTCTAGTGTTAGCTTTGTTCTGAAGGAACCGTTCGCTGTGTCAGCAGCAGCGTGCAACAGGTTTTGACAGCTTGTCAAAGAGATGCGGTGGGAGAAGTTTCCAGAGTTCGGCTCAACAGACTCACGAGGAAGTGAGTTGTGTTTTAATTGTTGCCATATTTTGATTTACTGACAAACCAGAATTTGACATGTTAAGGGGGTTTTGCCAACAGCCTCAGAAACCAAGCCTTGCTCAGATACAGGAGTTTAACCTTGTCATCGTCATGTGTCCGAGTGTGTGAGCTGTCAAGTCACGTACTGCTGATTACAACCTAATAATATTCATTTCAACTTCAGTAATTTAAGCACAGATTAATCAAAACATTGTTATTATACTTCAGCCATTATTGTTCATTCAACCATATAATTATTTACGTATTTCATTGCATCATCCAGTATCATTATTACAGAAGTTCATTCTTCTTGTTCCGTGAAGCAAAGCAGATAAATATAAGAGGAAGCTTGAGAGGGACCTTGGTCAGGCAACAGCATCTTTCTTGCAGATTAAAGGCTCCAGTTAAGACTTATGTCTCCATATGAACGGACACTGAAGAGGTCAACTGTAGATGAAAAAATGACCATTTCTGGAGGCTACAAGAGAAATTACACAATAAACTAATGTTGGAGCCCAACCTTCTCAGCCAGTGACCTGTTTTAGCATCATTCCCGGGAATAAGAAGCTATCCATCAAAAGGCCAGATTTATTACGGTATTCATACTGACCAAAGCTGTGAGGATTGTGGCGTACACAGACACACGCACACACATGCACGCACACGCACACACACACACACACTCACACGCACGTGCGCGTGTGCACGCATGCACACTAAAAACAAATGCTGCCAAGTTACACACCACACCTCCTGATCATGTGAGGAATTCAAACGTAGGAGAATATAAGAACAGACACGTCAGAGTGGAATAATAAGAAGCTGCAATAAACTAGAGTTAAATAAGCAGACAGATTACCTCCAACCAGCCGTGTGTGTGTGTGTGTGTGTGTGTGTGTGTGTGTGTGTGTGTGTGTGTGTGTGTGTGTGTGTTGGTAAGACACAAGGAGAGAACTTACTGTTTGCTACCACTCGAAGGGTAAAGATGGCCGCTGTGCTTGTTGCTTGGCATGATGTAACGTTGGTGTCACTCAACCTGCTGAGAAAAACAAAACATAAAAATAAAAACACATGAAATCTGTGAGTTTTTGCCACTGAGCTTTAGAACGATAAAACAGCTTTGGGCATATATTCCAGTAAGCCTGCTGTGGGCTCTGGTGTGTGTGAATACCTTGTGAGTAGTTGGGTCGGATCATTTACTCTATGGTCGGCTCGGTCTGGCCCTGGCAGAGTAACCTACCATTTACTCCCGACTTTCTCTGCGTGCTAGTACACACCGGGAAAATTTCAGCCGCAGAGCGGCTTCTCGCTCGACTCGTGAGATCACAAAATCCATACTAACTTCAAAGACCACCGTTTGTTTATGCCATCCGCCAACAAACCAAGAAGAAGATAATCACATTTGATATCGCGGTTTGGTGTCATATATGAAGTTGTTCCTCTCCACCGCCCAGATTAAAGCCTCTGGGATTAATAATCTTTGATTTGATTTGAAAAGCTCACAGCGGCAGGGAGTAAATAAGCCGTTGGGTCACACATTTTGATGTAATCTACACAGATTTGATATTGCATGACTGCAATTGTCTTTTATTTTGAAAGTTAGAGGTTTCCACTGAAACCATGTGTGATTTCCTGTCTAGCCCTGTGTGAACAGCAGAAAACAACGTGTCCCAGACGCAGCTCATTACAAAAACCAAACCTGATGCTATCTTAAGCAGCGCGGGGCTCTGCTTCTGGGACGCACTTGAACCCGTCTGTATCGTGGCTGCTTTAATGCACCCCCCTACACTAGCATGAAGCAGAGCCATTCTGTCCCGCTGATGCATCCAGTGTGAAGTTTGACTAACTGTGTTCTCATTGGTGTTGTCCGGGTGGAGCCGACAACGTTTTTTCAGGCCTGTGGTCCGTCTCGTGCTGAGCTGACTGTACACACCCACCTATGGACTAATTGGCTGGCTGAAGGTTTGTCACTCACATGCCTACCTACTAGTGGGAGCCTGATTAGCTGGGATCAGCCAACAGTGGCTTCCTGCATGCATGAGTCACTAGGACAAAGGAAGGAGCAGGGTGGGCATCTTCTGTGACTGCAGCTAGGACTGGGTGGAGTCTTATTAATGTTCTTGTACACAGCAACACGACCCTTCCAATGCTTCCGTTTGCTCGTCTTTCTTGTGTAAAAAATACGACAATGATTGTAGTGACGATTCCTTGTTTGTCCACCCAATTCCCTTAGGGTTTTAAATCCTTAAGCCACTGATGTACGCAGGCAAAAGAAGTCCAATGTCCAAACGATCTTAACTGTTGAATATCGGTGTTTATTCATCCAACTTGGAAAGTACTATATACATCTCCACTTTCTGCTGCTTCTCCTGCTCTGGTAAAAAAAAAACTAGGCCCACCCCAGTGCATGCTGGTCCAACATCAGTCCCCATATTTATAGAAAACAAAACACCTCTTTTCTTCCTGGCTGATTCTCTCAGGCAAAACAAAAATAAATAATAAATAAAATCATCATTAACCAACAACTAAACCCAATAAAAAAACTGTAAGTAACCCAAATAGCTCCAACACTAATGTTTTATGTCCACAAATAGCACAAGCACAAATAGCGTGGCCAGCGGTACACTAGCTACATGTTAACCCAAAGCTGACAGGGATTTTCTGGGCATATTCAGCCAGAAAGACGCAGTAGAGCAACTCCAAAGTGAAGGCACCTCCGGCCAGCTTAATAGTGAAATCATACCTAGGATATCGGGCTTCGGTGGTCCACGGCGGCCCAAGATCTGCGAGTCCGCCTTTGTAAACAGAGCCAAATGACCAAGCTGTGTTATGGTTAACACTTTTCCCCCATTCAGCCAGCAAACTATCAGCAAGAAACATGTGGTTGGGTGACTCAAATGGGAAGCAGCAGACACTAAAGAGCTGCGGTGTTTCTGTGATGTTTCTCAGAGATCCACGAGGGACCAGCATGACCACAGTCTAGCATTGGAGCCGGTCGGCGCGTCGGCTGCCACCGGGAAACGGGAACAGCCAGCCGCCTGCTCTAGCAGCTCATCTCAGACAGGAGACAGGAGAAGCTGGGCATCTGCTCATTTCTTATCCAGCAGCAGCCCCACTAACAGGTCTGACCAAGCAGATAAATAACAGCATCCCCCCATTCAAGCAGCACAATAAAGTACAGGGATATAATTTTACTTACTGATAAAAAGAAGCAGAAACTGCTTGGATAGTCTGTTAATAACCACAGCTTGTCCTTTTGTCCAACTAATAGGGATTGTGATCATGATGTCATCACGGGCGCAGCCACCCCGTTGGAGGCGCGTGTGAGTCCTTACTTGTTACTGCTGTAAACAGCGCTCAGTCTCGTTCTCGCAGCTTAAGTTAATCTATTATTCAGCTGATCGGTTATATTACACAACTATGATAAATCGTTGCTGTGTTGTGGGCTGACACACGTGATCACCAGGGCAATAAGGGTGGAAAACAAGACAACGTGTCACCATTTTCCTGCTTAGAGGCAAAACCACGGAGACCAAGTATCTAGCTTAACAGGGGGTGTTTCTCAATGCCAAGGTACTTCCCCTCGATGTTTTGGCCTTGCCCCGATTGCCTAGGAGATACGTCATCAGGAGCCACCAAGGCGTGTTCCAATGTTCATGTTCTACTGAGGCGTGTGTTCTCCATTTGTTAGCCATTTAGCTAGCTGAGCGACGATACACGGGAGGTGTCTTGTAGCCTAGCCTTGGTCAAAAATTACAAAAATTTTCAAAAAGATGGCGGATCAGAAGACGGCAGCTACTTCGGGGGCAAATTTCAAGTTTAAAAACTAAGTCCACTAATTTAAAATGTTTTTTGTTTCCAAAGCAGTCATCTATGGTTGGTTAGTTGCTTATTAGTTGCAGCTTTGGTGGCTAGCGGGTAGTAACTCACTTATATATGGCATATCCTCTTTCAGATTTGTTTAATTGATCACTGACAACATGTAATATTCCATTACTGGGGGCAGCAGCAGCTCAACAGGTTGAGCGGGTTGTCCAGTAATCGGAAGGATGCAGGTTCGATCCTGGCTCCGGACAGAGAATTCTGCTGTTGTGTCCTTGGGCAAGACACTTAACCCACCTTGCCTGCTGGTGGTGGTCGGAGGGACCAGTGGCGCCTGTGCTCAGCAGCCTCGCCTCTGTCAGTGCGCCCCAGGGCAGCTGTGGCTACATCGTAGCTCATCACCATCAGTGTGTGAATGTGTGAATGATACACTGTAGTGTAAAGCGCTTTGGAGTCCTTACTCTGAGAGGCGGTACACAAGTGCGGCTCATTTATCATTTATCATATTATCTTGGAAACGTACTAGAGTTACCCCACTTTATAAAAATGGTGACCAGTATGACATTAATAATTATTGACCAATTTCAATCATTAATAGCGTGGTAAAAATATTTGAAAAACGTATCTTTAAACAATTATCTAATTATACTAATGATTCTAATATTTTATCTCCTTTTCAGTCTGGCTTTCACCCAAATTTTTTCTACTACAAGTGCACTTTTAAAATGTACTAATGATGTTATATCTTCTTTTGATTCAAATAAGTTAACTGGTGCCATATTTATTGATTTAACTGAAGCCTTTGACATAGTTGACCATTACCTTCTTTTAGATAAACTTTGTGCTATTGGTTTTTCAAGAACGTCTTTACTTTGGTTTAACGCATACTTACACCATAGACAACTGTGTGTTCTTTATCAGGGAAGTTACTCAGATCTTACAACGTAGACAGAGGAATACCACAAGGTTCATCTCCGGGGCCACTATTATTTTCCATTTTTAGAAATAATCTGCCTCAGGTATGCTCTAATTCTCAAATTTATTTATATGCAGATGATACAGTTCTTTATTTTTCTAGTAATAATACCTCTCATAATCAGTGCTCATTGCAGTCTGACTTCGATCAAGTTCAAAACTGGTTTACATATAATAAACTTCTTTTAAACAAAAGTATGTCTTATATGTTATTTAGTACAAAATAAACTTCTTTACCAACTGATCATGTGATTACAAATACAGACGGCACACCAGTGTAAACTGTAAATGAGTTTAAATATTTAGGACTTCTTTTAGATCCACAATTTTCATTTAGATCACATATTGACTTAGTGGTCAAGAAAATCTCATACCGACTTAAAATACTCATCTATCAATTGTTTTACTTTTCAGGTCAGACAAAGAATTATTACTCAGTTAATATTACCAAATCTTGACTACGCTGATATAGTTTATCAGAACACTCCTAACACAAATCTTCGTCCTCTTAATACTGTTTGTAACAGTCTTTGCAGATTTATTTCGAGGTGCCCATACAAAACCCACCATTGTCATATGTATCAATCTTGAAACTGGCTATCGTTAAACTCAAGAAAGCATTTTCATTGGTTACAATTTATTTTTAAATGTCATTTCTTAAATTATCCTTATATAGCGTTAGCCTTATTTGAAACAGTTCTTCCTTTAGCTTAAGGCATACTGAACACTTATTGTTTTATGTTCCCAAAATTAATAAAGAAGTTGGCCGACGGGCATTTAAATTTAAAGTACCATCAGATTGGAATAAGCTACCTAATACAATTACAATCACCTCTTTTAATGCTTTTAAGGCTTCTATATATGATTATCAACAGAATACATGTCACTGTTTTTGATTCAACTCTTTGTAACTGTCCAAGTTTTTTTACTTTTTATATTTTTGCATCAATACATCTTGAGGGATTGTAATTGGAATGTAGGTAAAGAGAGCAGTATGAATGTTTGAGTGTATGATTTTGTGTGTTGTATATTGTAACCTGAAGTTTGTTGCCTGTATCGTCATTGTTATGCTTTTTCTTTTTCTTTTTATAAGGACCCCCTTGAAAATGAGATGTTGCATCTCAAGGGGTTATCCTTTAAATAAATTTCAATATATTTAATTTAACTAACACATATTTAAAAAGTAAAAGGCTCGTTATATATTTATATTGAAACTTACACGTATAAAATATTACGTTATCTCCCGTGCCACGTGACCGCCATGAAAGACGCGGTCACTTGATGCAAGTCTGTTCCATTTAGCCATTTTCTTTGACCAAGGAAGGACAGTGTCCTCGTAAGCAAGGCGTCTGGCCTCGTAAGACATCGCCTCGCAAGGCCAGGCGCCTCGACATTGAGAAACACCTAAAGTTTTGTTAGCTCACTTGGATCGCAGCTGCAAGGCGACCAAAGATCACCTTCTGGAGTATTTTCATTCTGGTAAGTTACAGATGGTGTCAGTGTTGTTTTTGGTGGGCATCTTAGTTTTACTCTTGACGACAAAAATGCATTTTAGTCTTAGTTTTAGTCGACTAAAGTTTAAAAAGGTTTTAGTAGGGATGGACAATATTTTGGCATCAATATCGGTATCGGCCAATGTTAGTCATTTTTTAACATATCGTATCGGTTTGATTAATAAAACCGGGCCGATAGTAACAAGCAATATTTTTTCTATCTCGTCTCCATTTATTTGCCTGTTTCAGAGGGGAGGGGGGTGATGTGTGATTGTTTAGTCATGTGAACAGTGAATGAAATAATCTCAGAAGAGTAAATGTGTGTGTTGTGGGTACATAATAACAAATTCACCTTGAATAATTTTCATTCTATACAAAATCTGCTGATTTTAGAAATCCTGCCCTCCTCTCCCACTGATTGGACAAGAATTCAAGAAACATGATTGGTAGCCAAGACTCGTGCTCTCATTGGTTCCACCCAAGTTCCTCCCACCCAAGCTAGAATTGAGACAAAATTACTTGTAACACTGTAGATTTGAGGTTTGTACCTGTAGAATGAAATGTGTGTTTTGAGAGTTTTGATTTCAAACATGTACATTGATTATTTTTATTTTGGAAGTCTGATAGTTAAAAAATGAAAGTTTCATGTTTCAGAATTAAATTTTGATGTTATAAAAACGAGATATACATGTACAAAATGAAAGTTTCATGTTACAAAACGAGAAATACATGTACAAATTGAGAATTACAAGTTAGAAAACTAAAGTTAGATGTAAGTTACAAAACGAAAGTTTCATGTTTCCGAATTAGGGCTGCACGATATTAGGAAAACCTGCGATATTCGATAACAGTGCTTAATATTGCGATATCGATATTACTTGCGATAAATAAACAAATACTAAAGGATGCAGTGTTGATGTCCGGCGTGTGATGTCTGCTCTGGGTCCAAAGCAAACAAAAACTAATGCATGAATTCCATTACAACATAACATTTTTATTGCAAAAATATGCAGCTGCACCTGCTACTGTATTAGCAGCTGCACCTGCTACTGTATTAGCAGCTGCACCCGCTACTGTATTAGCAGCTGCACCCGCTACTGTATTAGCAGCTGCACCCGCTACTGTATTAGCAGCTGCACCCGCTACTGTATTAGCAGCTGCACCCGCTACTGTATTAGCAGCTGCACCTGCTACTGTATTAGCAGCAAAACAACAAACTGCATGCATGCAGTTTCTCAGTGACTTTAAAACATCACCTCCACCATAAAACTTTTTCTGATGCTCCAAATACAGAAAAACATCCCTTACCAGGGTTTTAGAATAAATAAAAAAATCAGAAAATAAGTTTAAATGTTAAATAATGGTTAACATCACTTAAATGCAACAGCAAATTCTCTCATTGCTACTGAGCATTTTCTCCACTTATGTGGTTATGATATAAGGCTGTTGCTGTAATTGGGAAGTAAACTGTGCTGGGCCAAACTAGGAGAATATTAGGATTTTCTGAGGGAAAGAGAAAAACAATTGTCTACCTTTCAGAAGAGGAACTGGCAAAAAACTACATGGAAAATATGTGAAAACGTGTGGTTTTAACCCCAAATTGAACAAGTTTACCTAGATCTGAAAAAGCAGCTCAGATGATGAAACTGCAACTATGATTCTGATAACAAGCTAACAAATTGAACTAGCTCCTCTAAGATAACCGGCTAGCAGAGCTTCTGACTGACAGTTTATGTGCAGCAGCAAATCAACTATCCTGATTAACAAGGTTATAAAAGCTCATAAATGAAAAATCACTTTGATGGGTGGGGGAACTTTTCCAGGCCCTCTTTAGCAGGGTGGGACTGGGAGGAGAGTGCTGTAGCCTTTTAGCTGGAAGCTAACCGGAGCCTGGGGCTAACATTACCACCCGGTGGAACACTAGCGACATGACGGTGGGTTGGTTCACGGGCACGTGTCGGAGTCAGCCCGGTTACTATTAGCTGCTTAACGACACCGAGCGGACTCACGTTCATATTTGAAAGCAGCGCTGATTCCAGAAACATCAGCACAAGGTGCGTTTGTTGCTCTGAGCCAGCATGACGAACAACGGAACGGCGCCACTAACCCAGTTCGGATGTTGTTTTCCATCCTAAGGGTCTACGTAGGGGGCGGGCGTATTACCTAAATGGACCCATCGGATTGGCCGCATATCAGAAGGGCTACATTTGATTGGTCAAATAATACTTCAGCGTAAAAAACAGAGCTGGTTTACAAAAAGTTGATGTAAGTCACGGATGGAAATGTTTGAACCAAACATTTTTCACCGTTTTTGACGTGCTTTGCGATGGGCCTATCGCACGTCCTGTTATCCCGATGATGATAATTTTTCGATAAATTGTGCAGCCCTATTCTGAATGAAGGTTCGATGTTACAAAATCAGTAGTAAATGTACATAATAAAAGTTTGATTTTACAAAATAAAAAATGCATGTACAAAATGAAAATTTCCTGTTACAAAACAAGAAATACATGTACGAATTGAGAATTACAAGTTATAAAACTAAAGTTACAAGTTACGAATCCAAAGTTACATGTCATGAAACATGTTCCAAGTTACAAAACTTGGTACAAGTTACATTGAAAATTGTCCCAATCCTAGCTCCATATAAAATTGTCGTTTGTGGCAGCCCTAGAGATGTTGCAGGGAGATGAGGTGGAGAAATAACAAATATAACAAAAATAAAACAGCCAATGGTGCACGTAAAATATATTTCCTACTATTAAAAAAAAAATTCAATAATTATCAAAATCAATATACAACTTTTTTTATCAATATACTTTTTTCTATGTTGTCCAGCCCTAGATTGTAACATCTCTAGATAGAAGTCAGCTTTACAAACTAAAACAATTATTTATGAACTAACAGTAACTTCAATTAATGACATTAAATGAAATATTTTCCTAGTTTATGTTATGTTGTTTGAACCCAAGGGTCTCTCAGCATCTGAATCTTCAAAACTTGTTGAATCATGAATCTGTATAAAAATTTTGCTCTATGTGTGCTCTTTTTTTTTTACTTTGAGCACCCGTCCCTTCAAAGGTCTCTGCACGGCCCTGGTTATCAGACCTCCATCTTAGTGTCAGTCATGTTGTTCCACAGACTGCAGCGTTGTGAGTTTCCACAGATTTAATATAAATAACCCAGTTCTGCTCATAAACATTTAGATGGCTTAAACTGTGATGCAGTTGGGTTAAAAAGCAGGAATGTGACCCGTTATTAGGAACCAGGGAGCAGAGACATAATCCTGACTTTAAAACATTGAACCTGTTCAGATAAACCACACAGTGCCCATCTGGTGACACGGAGGAAAAAAATAACTTGTTACCACGACTTATTAATGCGTTCCCTCGAGTTCTTGATGTGTGGCCACGAGTTAACAACTCGTTCCCACACATTAGTAACTCGTTCAAAATCAATTAATCATTTTCGTTAACGAAAACCACACTGGATGGTGTACGTTTTGTATATATCGTTTCTTTCCTTCAACCGCAATATGCACACGAAACACACACACACACACACACACACACACACACACACACACACACACACACACACACAGGTAAGCTAATGCAGGTGCGCTGACACACAACACAACTTCTCCTGCTACACTTCTTCTATAGTATGATAAATTTCATTGTTTACTAGAACCAACAAATAAAACGTTTACCACTCATCCGGACGTTTACATCCGCTCACACCACAAACAAGATAGCCTAAAAATGTCTGTTACGGACAACTGCAGCGGGAACAATACATCAGTGTTCCGGTCTTGGGACTTTCATGTGGATCAGAACCATTTCTGACATTGATTGTGTCCACATCCCAGTCCCCGACGTCTTTGTATAACCTACCCTGTATATTCCTCATCCTTTTGGGGTTTTATAATGTTGTTTAACACCTTCTTCCACCCTAATCCACTTCGTCTCTGCAACACCGTTTGTTTCACGGTGTGCTTACACTCGTCAGCCTTCCAACACGGCCGCGCACATCCCAGAATGTTATGCGTAATCACGTGTGATCACAAGCCCTATTCCATGATTAACATACAGACACAAACGAAGACGGAACTAAAGTTCAGAGTCAAAATGGCCGAACAGCTATTAACATGAGGCTGAGGCCTTTCTCCGGAGCTAGCTCTGAAGTCATGTGGATGCTCATTATTCAGATTTTTAAGCATTTAATCCACTTAAACAGCAGAGTAACGAAAAAGGCCTGGCGAGCCACCAGGCTTATAACGCTCTGGGGGAAACCCTGAAACATGTTTATTTCTGCTGTAAAATCAGCATTTTTAACATGGGAGTCAATGAGGATGTGCTCTCTTCTGCTGCCAGCCCCTAGTGGATGAGGGTGGAACTGCAGTTTTACACACTTCCCTGTTGGCTTAATTTTCCTACCACAATAATGGAGGCTTGGTTACACCCATCAACATATATACTGGACAATTCGTGTCCACATGCTTCAATTATAAGTTTTGTGCCAAAATGGGAGGTGGCCACCACCACCATTTTGACCGTGTCACAGGGTCTGTCAAGCCCAGACAATTCCTTGAAAGGGAAAAGAGGTGGAGCTGAGGGCGGGGCTGTAAGGCTGGGATCAAATGACGACACTTGTCAAACTGAAGTGATGTGGCTACAAGCTAGTGCGGAGGTGGGAGCTAAGCTAACGGAGGTAGCAACCTAGCTACAACCGGAGTTAACTGTGCACAGCACCGGAGCTTGTGCTTGTGTCAGAGATACGCCGGGCTGACCGCTGGGGAGAACCGGGTGGAACACAGAGGTCCCTGAGAGCTCCACAAGCCGGCAGCCCGCGCAACAGACAGGCGCCACTGCGATCAGAGATGCACTGAGCTGCCGCTGAGGGGAGGGGACCATACCGATAGTCGGAACCCAGCTCCACCAACATGTTATATTTCAACCCATTTTCTAAAGTGCAGCATTATGTTAAATGCACTGGGTTTTACCCTATTACATTTAGATTTCATGGTTAAACAGTACATGTTAAACTCTAAGCTCAGCTCGGCAGTGACCTAAAATACATAAATGTAATTTTACTTACCGAAAAAAATGAAGTGGAGACTCCTTGGACGCTCTATTAGTGCAATTAATGCCACAGCAAGTCATTTTGTCCAACAATTGTACAAATAATATCCAAACAAGAATACACAAACGCTACAACTACTGGTCTAAGTTGAGAGACTGAAAATGGCGGAACAGTTTCCAGGCCAGACCGAGGCTCAGGCTGAGGCCTTTGCCCGGCGCTAGCTCTGCGGTCACGTGGGTCTGATGCTCATTAATTATACAGAATTTTAGGCTTTTAATACACTTAAACAGAAGAGTTAGAAAAAAATCCACCCCCCTCAGAGTTGTCATGAGTGTAAACTAGATCATTTAAACCAAAAACATGTTTTGGTACCAGGCTGTAAACATGTTTATTTCTGCTGTGAAATTTGTATTTTTAACATGGGAGTCAATGAGGATTTGCTCGCTTCTGACACCAGCCCCTAGTGGATGAGGGTGGAACTGCAATTTATTTCACTTCCGTGTTGGCTTCATTTTCCTACCAGAATTTTGGGGGCTTGGTTACACCATGCTGTGGAGTTACTAATGCTAACGGTTAGCTTCTACGTGCTCTTCCTGTGGGAAGAGCCATGGATACTAGTTTAAACTGTGGGGCAGAAGAGACTGGCATTTTCGGACCCAACCGTTTTCTCCTCTATCCTTTTGGTGGCTGATGATGGAGATGTGGGTTAAAGAAACGTTTCACACTCAGCATGCATGTACAACTCAGACTGAGCATCATCTTTCAAAAACAAGTATGGTTTCTCAGGGCCATCGACATTTCACAGCTGATTCTGAAGAGTTCAAATCATTTCAAAATAAAGGTAATGAGCTACTGTCAACACCATACAATTATTTGTGTTCAGTTTAGAAAAAAGGAACCAACCCTTCTGTGATCTTTTCCTAACAACAGAACTAAAGTCATCACCCGCTGTGCTTACCAGTCAGCCAAAGGAACATCCCCTTGGCCAACTAGCCAGGGTGCATGATCAGTCAGGACACGTGACAGGTCGCTCACACTGTCACATATAGATGGAGTCACGTTATCACCATCTTTATCACAAATACAATGTCTAGACGTGTAAACACGCATGTTAATCATCTGTAACACTAGTTTTATTAGACCTGCATGTTGAGGTGTTACTATAAAAGGGTGTGTGGGTTAGTTAAAGGTGTGTGTGTGGGTTAATTAAAGGTGTGTGTGGGGGTTAGTTAAAGGTGTGTGTGGGTTAATTAAAGGTGTGTGTGTGTGGGTTAATTAAAGGTGTGTGGGGGTTAGTTAAAGGTGTGTGTGGGTTAATTAAAGGTGTGTGTGTGTGGGTTAGTTAAAGGTGTGTGTGTGTGGGTTAATTAAAGGTGTGTGTGTGTGGGTTAATTAAAGGTGTGTGTGTGTGGGTTAATTAAAGGTGTGTGTGTGTGGGTTAATTAAAGGTGTGTGTGTGTGGGTTAATTAAAGGTGTGTGTGTGGGTTAATTAAAGGTGTGTGTGTGGGTTAATTAAAGGTGTGTGTGTGGGTTAATTAAAGGTGTGTGTGTGGGTTAGTTAAAGGTGTGTGTGTGGGTTAATTAAAGGTGTGTGTGTGGGTTAATTAAAGGTGTGTGTGGGTTCACTAAAGGTGTGTGTGGGTTAGTTAAAGGTGTGTGTGGGTTCACTAAAGGTGTGTGGGTTCACTAAAGGTGTGTGTGGGTTAATTAAAGGTGTGTGTGTGGGTTAATTAAAAGTGTGTGTGTGGGTTAATTAAAGGTGTGTGTGTGGGTTAATTAAAGGTGTGTGTGGGTTAGTTAAAGGTGTGTGTGGGTTAGTTAAAGGTGTGTGTGTGGGTTAATTAAAGGTGTGTGTGTGGGTTAATTAAAAGTGTGTGTGTGGGTTAATTAAAGGTGTGTGTGGGTTAGTTAAAGGTGTGTGTGGGTTAGTTAAAGGTGTGTGTGGGTTAGTTAAAGGTGTGTGTGTGGGTTAATTAAAGGTGTGTGTGGGTTAGTTAAAGGTGTGTGTGTGGGTTAATTAAAGGTGTGTGTGTGGGTTAATTAAAGGTGTGTGTGTGTGGGTTAATTAAAGGTGTGTGTGTGGGTTAATTAAAAGTGTGTGTGTGGGTTAGTTAAAGGTGTGTGTGTGGGTTAATTAAAGGTGTGTGTGGGTTAGTTAAAGGTGTGTGTGGGTTAGTTAAAGGTGTGTGTGGGTTAGTTAAAGGTGTGTGTGGGTTAGTTAAAGGTGTGTGTGTGGGTTAGTTAAAGGTGTGTGTGGGTTAATTAAAGGTGTGTGTGGGGGTTAATTAAAGGTGTGTGTGTGGGTTAGTTAAAGGTGTGTGTGGGTTAGTTAAAGGTGTGTGTGGGTTAGTTAAAGGTGTGTGTGTGGGTTAGTTAAAGGTGTGTGTGGGTTAGTTAAAGGTGTGTGTGTGGGTTAGTTAAAGGTGTGTGTGGGTTAATTAAAGGTGTGTGTGTGGGTTAATTAAAGGTGTGTGTGTGGGTTAGTTAAAGGTGTGTGTGGGTTAGTTAAAGGTGTGTGTGTGGGTTAGTTAAAGGTGTGTGTGGGTTAGTTAAAGGTGTGTGTGTGGGTTAGTTAAAGGTGTGTGTGGGTTAATTAAAGGTGTGTGTGTGTGGGTTAATTAAAGGTGTGTGTGTGGGTTAATTAAAGGTGTGTGTGTGGGTTAATTAAAGGTGTGTGGATCTCAGTTCTGAACCCTGACCGGGACATTCAGACGGACCTACAGAACCATCTAGGAGAGGCCGGGTTGAATCGAGCTCCGCATGTTTAGTTAACCGTCCACACAGTTCGATCTCATTTGTGTTTTTATCCATGAGGGACTTGTTTCCATCACCAGGTGACCCACGCACACTCCCCGAAGCTGCAGCTACTTCCGGCCCAGACTAGCTGCGTGTTTTTTAGCATCAAATATTCAGAATAAAGACACTCACCTGTGATGATGATGATGATGCCGCGTCCCACGGACAAGAACAGCTCATCTGCGCCACACGACGCACGCCCAGAGAGAAGAAGAGGGCGCAGGCACGTCACGTGACCCGCCCTACAGGTTGCACCGGATTCACCTGTTCTCACATGTGTTTATGTTTCCGATTCAGGGAAAGCGTCTGCTCTTCCCAGTAGCTGCCCCCACATCCGGCCCACTTCTGGTTGGAGGTAACCTGGTTCCTACACCTGTTCACCCGTCGATAAACACTCCTGAGAACGTGTGTGTGCGCGCGCCAAACGAGCTAGATATGCACGTAAACACCTATAGTCCCGTTCTCATAATGTCCGGTCCACGCCTCCAGCTGAGGAACGGCAGTAGACTTTCCTCTGCTGGTGAAACCGAGAGCAGACCAACCCAGTGGAACCAGCGCTGAATGTGGCTCTACCTGACCTGGTCTGACGTCATCACAACATACAAACTGATGAGTCCATGGTTTACAGAGAAAATCAGCTCCAACACCCTGACTCCAGGTGTTTAACCCAGAGTGAGATATCTCATTATAATATGTTGTTTATTTGATTCAAATTAACTAAACTTAAGTCAAAACTGGGAACTCTGCTGCATTCTGGCGGTCCAAATCACAGCACTCTGCAGGGTTTCAGACTGATAGAGCGCTGTGATTGGTCTGGTCCACAATGGTGGTAATAACACTAGATTAGGATTTAATGACAGCTACCTCCCCTTCACTAACCAGCTAACTAACCCTTCCTTTGGGGACATTGTGACGTTCATCATCTCCTCATATCCATGGTGTCTGAGGAGAAGAAACAAAAGCAAACAACTCAAACTCAAAGGGAGACTAAAGTTTAATTTCACATAAATTCAAATTGCCCTGATTTATGGAACAGAATTAAGTTCAGCAGGAACTTCTACAGGCGGACAGCTAAACTTTAATTTATATTTGACTGTTCTGAGCTCTCATCTCCTCGGTGTCACTCCCCCCACCTCCACCTGGAGCAGCAGCAGAGCCCAACTGGACCCAAAGCCTGAAACCGAGACAACATGGCCTACATCTTAACGTTGTTTTTACCACCATGGATGTCATGTTGGGGTTTACGTGCTTGACCCAAGACATGCAGAATCAACACAAGAGACACGTGTAAAATTAAACAAAGGTTTTATTAAACGGTGCACAACTAAGGACGTCCCAAACTGGGAGATGCAGGGAAGAGGGACAGAACCGGACCTCCAAGTAGAGTTTGGATTAGTAAGAGGTCTGGTGGTTTGAAGGTGGAGGAGTGGGAAGATGGTACGTGGGGAGGTCTGTTAGGTCTGTGTCCAGTGGGGTCGAGATAAGGGTTCCAGGCAGGGGTGGATGAACGGTGGTGAACGGACTGAGGGAAGGAAGATGCAGGCTGAAGTGAGGTCCAGGAGTATGGCTGAAGGTGTGAAGTTGAGCAGCAGCTGAGAAAAACAAGGAGCAAACGTCTGGTAGAGTAATCAAAACAATAACTAGACTAGAGACTGAGTGGCAGGAGAATATCCAGCGGGAGATACCCGTGTGGAGTAATCAACCGGCGTTGAGCGGTGGTCTCCCTCCTCCTTTTAATCCAGCAGTGGCTGATGATGGATCCGCTGCAGCTGGTCCCGTTCAGACACCGCTCACCTGGAATGGAGAAGAAGAAGAAGAAAATATCGTTTCTATAGCGCCTCTCAAGGTAAAAATCACAAGGCGCTTCACAAAAACAAAAAATGTAAAAATACAAAACGAATTTAGAAAATGGTTAAAAATATATTTAAAATGAGCAAAAATAGACAATTGTGATTAAAAGAATATAATGTTAAGAAAGAGAGAGAGAGTGAACAGGAAAGAGGGAAATCAGTGGATCCTGAGGAAGGTGGGATAGGTGGGGAGAGCAGAATAAAGAGAGAGAGGTGAAGAAGGTCATACAAAAGCCAGCGTGAACAGGTGAGTCTTCAGCTGCTTTTTAAAGGAGACCACTGAGTCCACTGATCTCAGGCTCAGGGGGAGAGAGCTCCCGTGTTAGGTAATTTTTATTGATCTCGTATTACCTCAAAGAAAGTTCAAAACACACAGAGGGATTAGATTGATAATTTGATAGATTGTAAACAACCCACAACAAACAACAACAAAACACTTTGCAAAGGGTGAGAGAATCGTACACACCAGAGACAAAAGCCAGTTTCCTCTCACAACCCAGGCAAGCCCTGGAGAGTGAATTTATTTGGGAACACACACACAAAGTTACAGATAAGCACACACACACAAACAAATTCTTTACAGTCAACCTGGAGAAAAACACTTTGGTCTGGCTTCTAATCGTAATAAAAAGTACTCGGGCGAGGTCAGCCTTCCTGCAACAATTTAAATGTAAATAAGGTTGATGAACTCTGTTTGAAAGAACAACATTATTAACAAGGTGAGGTGAAAATCAGTTTTTACCTATCATCCAGAGTCTGGGGGCCACAGCAGCAGATGATCTGTCACCTTTGACCTTTAACCTGGTGCGTTGCACAACCAGTAGGCTTTGATCACTGGACCTCAGGGACCTGCTGGGGGTGTAGGGACTAAGAAGATCACCAATGTAAGATGGTGCTTGTCCATGTAAGGCCCTATAGACCAGAACCAGGATCTTGAAATGAACCCTGAAGTTGACTGGCAGCCAGTGAAGCTGGAGGAGAAGCGGGGTGATGTGGGTGTGTTTGGAGGACTTGGTCAGAAGCCGAGCACAGGCGTTCTGAACCACCTGTAGACGGTTCAGGGAGGTTCTGCTCAGACACGTGAAAAGAGAGTTACAGTAGTCTAAGCGTGAGGAGATGAAGGTGCGGAAAACTGTCTCAAGTTCAGAGCGGGACAGAATGGGACTCAGCTTAGCAACGTTCCTGAGATGGAAGAAGGAAGAGCGAACAAGAGAACTGACATGAGAATCCAGGGTTAGAGCTGGGTCAAAGGTCACGCCAAGATTCCTGACAGAGGGTTTGGTGTGGGAAGCAAGCTGACCAAGAGAGTCTCTGACTTTGGGAACCAGCTTGTCTGGGGCACAGATGAGGGTCTCAGTCTTATCTTCATTCAGCTGTAGAAAGCTCCCACCATCCAGGTTTTGATAGAGTCTAAGCAGGTGTGTAACAGCTGCAGCTTAGACATCTCATGGGGCTTAAAGGAGATGTACAGTTGGATGTCATCTGCATAAAGATGGTAGGAGATTCCTTTGAAGGAGCTCAGGATGTGCTGAAGAGGAAGCAGACTGAGGAGGAAGAGCAGAGGCCCCAGCACAGAACCTTGTGGGACGCCATGGGTAAGAGAGGTGGTGGAGGACCTAAACTTGGAGACGGCCACAGAAAAGGAGTGCTCAGAGAGATAAGAGGAGAACCACTCCAGAGCAGATCCTGATAGGCCTACCCAGTCTCTCAGCCGCTCCAGTAGCAGGTGATGGTCAACAGTGTCAAAGGCTGCAGTCAGGTCCAGCAGGACCAGAACAGAACAGTCCCCTGCATCACTCTGGGTCAGAAGGTCATTAGAGACCCTAAGAAGAGCTGTTTCAGTAGAATGAGCTCTACTAAAACCTGACTGGAAGCTATCATAGATGTTAAGTTCATCAAGAGCAGCTGTGAGTTGTTTAGCCACAACCTTTTCCAAGATCTTGGAGATGAACGGAAGTTTAGAGATGGGTCTGAAGCTGCTATGGAGAGAGGGGTCGAGACTCGGTTTTTTAAGAAGCGGGTGGATTACAGCGTTCTTAAAGTAAGCAGGGACCTGACCAGAGACCAGAGAAGCATTAATTATAGAGAGCACGCTGGGACCGATGGACTGAAAAGCACTTTTAAACAAAGATGAGGGTAAGATGTCGAAGCTGATTAGAGGATGAGCTCACCTCAGACCATGACAATGGATGAATGAATGACGCTTCCACTCCCAAACATTGTCACGACGGCAATGTCGTGTCCACGGCCAAAAATGGTTGCAGTCGGACATCTTAAATTTGTTAAAACATATGTAACAGAAATTCCCTAAAAATCCTTTCAGATATATTTGTACTTGTCAACAGTTACATGTATAATTGACAATTAATATCAAAATAACAATTATTGATTAGTTAGTATAGCATCCAGTAAATATTGGTGTGATGGTAACGTGGTGTCCACGGCCAAAAATGGTCTTGGTAGGACGGCTTGAATTGGTAAGAAAATTGTAACAGAAATTTACAAAAGAGATATATTTGTACATATCTACAGTTACACGTGTGTCCTTTATTTTGACCATTAGTTACGTGTAGTTCAACATAAAGCATCCCCGCAAATATACAGCAACGTCATGTCCACGGCCAAAACCCATCGCCTTAGGACGCCAACACTGGTAAAAACGTGTGTAGCTGATCCATTCAGACACATTTATGTCTGCAGTTGTCTCGGGTTACGTTATTCTGACAATTTGTTACGTGTAGTTCAACAACTGAGCATGCTGTGCATCAGATGCAACTCCACCGGGCCAGAACCTTCACATGTCAAAGAGATGGCTCAAATTAGGAATCGACCCAAGTCCGATCCAGCCTGTTGGGCTTACTCCTTTCGGGTTTGGGTCGTACAAGTGGGGAACTGGTGGTGTCGGGGATGTTTTAAAAATCCTAGTGGATAATAATGAAGCTGGTTATACTAGAAAGGCTGGCATCCATTTTGGATTCAAACTGGCACATTTCTGCCAAAGGTGAATGTCTGTGAATTTTCACCTTCTTCAACGGTGGACCGCCTCATTTACCGACATCCGTTGCAGTGAGTATGCCACGTTGTTCATTGTCCGGTAGCATGCGGAGATGGTTTGAAAGACAAAGGTAGAACCCGCCCCACGAACAAGAACCGTCAATAGTACGTTGCCGGACTAAATAATACATTCAGTTAGTCTGACTTGCCAGGCTGCTGCTTTGGTGGAATGAACCACATCTCCCCAGAAAACATCACATAATCAGCTTTATTCCGTCTATCATCATCAGTAGATCAGCTCGCGCACACAAATGAAGCCACATGAGCTGACAGGTCATGTGACTCGGCTCATGACGACTGGGTCAGAGAACAGTGGGCAGCATGGACTCACAGGTCCCAGGTCAGTTGGGTGGGACCTGGATACAAAATTCGGCACATAACGGAAACACCCAGGAGTTGGATCCCCTCCTGCAGCAGGTGGACCGTCTGCGTGCCGACGTGGTCTAATCCATGGGATCAGCACCAGGTCTGATTTAACCTGATGAAGCTCTAAACTTGAGGGTGGAGTCAACTTGTTAG